TCTTCCTTCCTTCCTGAAATCAAATATATATATTTAAAATTGCAATAGGTCAAGACAGTGATACAGCACTAACTCTTCTCTGACAGGAACTACTATAAGAGCAATGTAAGGGACTATCTGTTTTTCTCAAGACCACAAATAAGTCTGAGAATTCTTCATGATGTAGATAAACCTTTTAATACTGGATATCCTTACATAAGAAGTAGTAAGAAATTTTAAAAGAATACTAAAAATCTCCTTTAGTTCAATAATTATAACAGTCTGCCTTAATTTTGCACTTAGAAGGTTATTGAACACTCTATAGAAATAAATTCTACATCCTGAATTACAGTGCAGCACATAGTTGCACCAGCTACAGGGATTTAAAGGGCATTCCAGCATAAGACAACCACATAAAAGATGGACTAGAAAAAAAAAGACTAGAAAAATTATAGCTAACAATATTATAATCTTACCAGAGAAACATACACTTAATGCACAAACAATGTACCTAAGAAGTACAGTTCAACTTGACATATAACTGGCTATTCTTTAACTCTGATCAAGCAAAATCCCCAGCAAGCCCCAGCAGTAGCAACAATAACAGTAGCAATCCAGTTAGTACAGAACTGTAGCCTTATGTAATACTCACTTTCCCAGGAATCCCAAACAAATGCCCCTGATGGTGCAAGGACAGAAATCTGACAAGGAAGGTACAAAGCCAGTGGGGGACTGGCTTTCTGACAAACAGCATGGTCAAAAGGGAACAAACATATAAACATGTAGATACCAAAACCCCAATGGAATAGGATCATGATAAGATAAATCAAAAGAAAGGTGAAGAGACTCAAATTATAAATTATGGGGCCATAGCTACCACACACAGGATGTAGTGGAATGGCAACACAAGAAGCAAATAGTGAGAGACACAGCAGTCACACACATGTACCTCGGTACTAAATCTTGCAACAAAAAGCATTATATAATCCCAACTGTCCTTAACTGATTACTTCTATCTTAAACTCAGTAACAAATGCTGCTCAGTAACAAATAACAAAGCCAATAAGCAAAACATAAGTTTTAAAAACTGTTTCTTTTTTCGGGTGTTAGCCAAGAAACTTTGTGTCAAATCCTAAAACAAAATTATAACCTTGCATGACTGTTATTCATCAACTGTATATTACATTCCATGGGAAAAAATAGATAATTTATGACTCTCAAAATGTGATAAATACAGCTATTTGGTGTGCTTTGGATATCAAATATAGACTTAATCCTATTTCTTACTCTTATTCAAATTATGTACATCTCCCAAAATCATTACTGAGTTTAAAATAAATTGAAATGTTTTTCAAGCAAGCAATAATTTCAACATAGATTTTCAATACAAGTAATCAAACCCAAGATTATAACTTTATCAAGGAATTTCCTTTCTGAAATAGTGAGAACTCACTAATCTTTCAAAAGTATAATATTTTAAAATCTATGCATTATTGCTACTGATTTCAGGTCAACACAAAAGCAAAGGGAGCCATGTATTCAGGAGAGTATGTAAGGGGTGTGTGTGTGTGTACACTTATACATATGTACTGTGGGAGAAAGAGATACAGTGCAAAAATGAAGGAAGACACAAAAACGCACATAATCTAATCTTGAGACTCTGGTCATTGTTAATTCTGATGTAAAGAATTTACCCATTTGTCTTATTAGAACAAGAAAATATAAATTAATATCAAGATAAGAGAAAACAAGTGAATGGGTAATCAGCCCGTTATCACCTTCAGAATAATGAAAGAAAACTGTGAGGGTTGAACTGTGTTTTTTTAGTTTCTTGAAATAAATCAAATTTCTATGGATAAAGAATAAGAGAAATAATAACTTCTAGAGGAAAGTATCAGGTCTACCACTAATCCAAAAATTTACAACTTAATAAATAACTTGTGAAAATAGTCTAATATTTCCCAACCTTCAAGAAAATAAAAATATTTCTAAGAATCAGGCTCCAAAGAGCCATACAGATTAGTGACTTCATTCTGTCACTGTCAGTCTCTCTGTTCAGAAGAATATGGGCGATTAATGAAGTTCCACTGGAAGAACTGCTTTTACAAACTTGTGAATTTATGTTAAATATGTGGTAGGTGTAAAAGAAGAGGTCAAAAGGCATATGCTTAATCTCTAGTATAATACACCCTAATGAAAGAAAAAAAGACAAAAACAATTCCAAGAGAACTGTCTGACTAGATCTGTTCAAACACAGCATGTTTTGAAGAATTCAAAGTTAGAGCTCATAAGTATCATATCCAAATCTCCTAAACTGCCTTCAAAATGTGGTCTATGCACTGATATATGTAATAGCCTGCTTTTCTACAATACAAATTGTAAAAGTTGCAAAATGCATAGCCCAAAGGAACATCAGCTCAACATACAGGTCTGAATCAATGAAAAAGTATTCACTCCTTGAACTTGAGGCTCATCTGTTCTTTACATAGATAAATAATTAAGAAGCAAGTGGCTTTTTGTACTCTCTTGATTAACCAGTAGAAATTTTAATATCTTAATCAATGAATGCTTTCTTTCTAACCAATAATGATGACATCCATGGCTTCCCAATTTATTCCCATTCTGTATTGCCTTTTAGAGACTACAACAATGAATTTACACTGACTTAGAAAAAAGTGGATAATAAAGTAACATCAAGCACTCATGAACCTACATTCAGAGAACCAGATATACTGAAGAGCATGCCTTCAAAAATATTTAAGTTTTTAAAACCATACTTTAGCTTTTCGAAAAAGTGAAACCCTATTCAGCTTCCCCTTCCTTACCTTTCCAACTCAGCGATCTTTTTATCTTTGTCATTCTTCTCATTTTCCACCTCCTTCAAGATTTCCAAGAGGCGGTCAACTTCTGCCTGGGCCTTGCTAGATTCATCTTTGTACCTGGCAATCTCTCTCTCCAATTGCTGTATTCGGTCACTCATCTCTGGACTAGCTCTGGCTTCCAATGTTGCCTCATGTGCCTACAAAGAAAAGTGTTCAAATTCTATCAGATATACATACAATGTGGTGGACAAACAATGCCCCAAAGAACTATCTATATATCAATAAGATATTATCAAACATCTAATAGCTAGTCTTCAATTTATAAAGTTTTTCTCTGCTTAAATATTACATAGATAAATCAACCTTTACACCTCAAGGAACTAGAAAAAGAAGAATAAATAAAACCCAAAGGAAGGAAATAAAGATCAGATTAAAAAAATAAGAAAAATAAAAACTAAAAAGACAATAGGAAAGATCAATTAAGATAAGAGCTGGTTCTTTGAAAAGATAAACAAAATAGATGAAACTTTAGCTAGACTAGTCAAGAAAAAAAGAGAGAACATTCAAATAAGTAGAATAAAAGAAGTTACAAGTGGTACTACAGAAATACGAAAGATCATATGAGACTACTATGTAAAATTATACACCAATAAATTAGACAACTAAGAGGAAATGAATGAATTTCTATAAACATACAACCTTCCAAAACTGAACAATGAAGAAGTAGAAAATCTGAATAGATTGCTTACTAGTAAGGAAAGTGAATCAATAAACATGAACTTCCCCCCCAAAAAAGTACAGAGCCAGGCAGCTTCACTGGTGTTTAGTCAATTAAACTCTTTTATTAAAAAGAAAAAAGTGTTCTCACCACACATAAAAAGGTAAATATATATGATGATGGATATGTTAACTAGCTTATTGGGGTAATCATTTCACAGTTATACATATATCAAATCATCATGTATACCTTGAATATATATAATTTTTATTTGTCAATTCTATCTCAATAAAGATGAAAAAAGAGTCAAAAATGTATATTATAGGGCAATCATTTTGTTTAAGAAATACAAATTTCTAAGAGAAGAAAGAAATAAAATCATATAAAATGTTCAATTAAAACAGACAAGGCAGAAAAGATATGAAAAAAGACATGAAGAACAAACAAAACAGAGGCTGGACAGTGTGGTTCAGTGGCTGAGCATCAACTATGATGCAGGAGGTTATAGTTTGATTCCCAGTCAGGGCACATGCCCAGGTTGCAGCTCAATCCCCAGTAGGGGGCATGCAGAAGGCAGCCAATCAATGATTCTCTCTCATCATTGATGTTTCTATCTTTCTCTCCTTCTCCCTTCCTCTTTGAAATCAATAAAAATATTTTTTAAAAAAACAAACAACAAAATAAATAGAAAACTACAATAGCAATCTCCTTCTTGAAGTAGGGCATTGTGGAAGTAGTATAATAGAGAAGCATCAGTAATTAATTAAAATAAAAAAGGAGCACTCATCCAGAATGAATTAAGAGAAAATATGAAGTGAAAATGGCCATGGGCAGAAAAACAGATAATAAGTCGCAGTTGGCAAAAGCCATCGACTTCTTTCACTCAAAAATAACTTTTTTTCATGAACCTAAATATTAACTCTAAAATATCAGAGATCATATAAATGACCAGCTGTAGAATCATCATGATAAAAGATTAAAGAGAAAGAAATAACCCTATCGGGTTTAGCTCAGAGGCTGGAGCATCAGCCTTCAGACCAAAGGGTTGCTGGTTTGATTCCCCTTCAAGGGTATGTACCTGAGTTGCAGGTTCCATCCCTACCCTTGGTCAGGCACATGCAGGAAGCAAGTAATCAACATGTCTCTCTCATGTCAATGTTTCTCTCTATTTCTCTCCCCCTCCTGCCTCCCTTCCACTCTCTAAAAATCAATGGAAAAAAATCCTCAGGTGAGGATTAAAATATAATAAAAATAAATAAGTAAATAAATAAACAAACATAAAATGTGGGATTGTCATAAACAGGAAAGTTTGGGATGATAATGAAACATTGTTCTTAATAGTTACCACTCAGTTTTATTAACCCTAAAGATATCTAACAGCTTTACCTTCAATATTCAGATATTAAATTAAAAATTACCTCCACCTTTTCAGTGAGAAAAAAACACCAACTATCAAATCTGAATTGGTTATAAACAGAATCCTTAATCTCAAAAAAAAAGTACTTTCCTATTTGTGCAAAAGTAACTTTAAGATACTGAATTTTCTTCCTTTCATTAGTTTTAGAATTTAAGTTTACTTTTTGGTATACCCTATATGATGATTCATTATGAAAATATTATGTTGAAAACACCCAATATATGAAAAGATTATAAAACTTGAAATCTCAAGAGTAGGCTGTACCCCCTTTTTCATTACTAATCATGTGAACTGGACACAGCTACTATAACTGTTCAAAAGTCTCAGTTTCAGTTCTCATAGAGTAGATAGCTCAGAGATAATAAGTAGGGAAGTGCTTTGAAAACTATAAAACTGCCATAAAATATTAGAGAGGCAAAAAACAAAGAAATGATATCCTAAATTCACCAGTGTGAGTCACTATCACTGTTAAGAATCTTCTAGAAAACCTAATGCCAATGGAAGAAAAATATCAGATAACTGAGATTATTACATTGTGGCCTTATATTTCATCCATAAGGAAGCTGCATATTTTAATTTTCTTCTGAACTGTCAATTTTCTAAGAGCTTGTGGATTCTCAGGAGTAAAATAAAATAGGGTAAGAATCCTATATAATAAAGAGCTAATATGCAAATGGTCATCACACCCTCGCCAGGGCCAGGGGATCTGAGGCTGCGCTCCCCCACCCAGCGGGGATTGATGGGGTACCTGAGGCAGTGCCCCCCACCCAGCGGGGCTTGACAGGGGACCTGAGGCTGCGCCCCTCACCCAGCAGGGGTTGACGGGGGACCTGAGCCTGCACCCCCCACCCTGCGGGGCTTGACGGGGGTGGGGCCGGCTGGGTCTGGGTCTCGCATGATTTTGAGGCACGCGCAGGGACTTGACTCTGGGTCTCGCAGCGTGCCCCACACTCTGACAGGAGGGAGATTTTCATATACATTTTACTAATTTTCTTTCATCTCTGACACTTCTATTATAGACAAAGGGCAACTAGCAATATTAAAATATTTCCTCTAATTAATTCCCTTTTAATGTGCACGAATTTCATGCACCAGGCCACTAGTTCTAAGATAATTAATCAAGGTACAAATGGCATTTTGAACTTTAGGGGATTATCACTCCACTGGTAAGTTATTACATATGCACATTGTGGAGTTTTCTGATATGTTCTTATTAAAAGCAAAGCCAGAAAATGGAAAATTTTTCTTGAACCTTTTTCAACTGTGATTCCATTTTCAGACATTCCTCCTTCTTCTGCTCCAAAGCAATCTCTAGTGTCTTTAGGCGTGAGTCCTTTTTCAGTCCTGAGGAAGCCAGGGAAGAAGCATGCTCTTTCAGATCCAAGAGTGAAGCCTAAAGAAAGCAATATACAACTAGAATAAATATTAACTACAAATAAAATGGAGATTTAAATTTTTAAATTTATATCCTTGGCAGCTAGTAGTTTCTTTCTGTTATCATACAGTGACATATTTCTATTTCAAGAACATGAAATATAAAACAATATTCACTTTCCCTAGCCAGTTGGGCTTAGAGGATAGAGCATCAGCCCAGGTCCTGGGTTTAATTCCGGTGAAGGATACATACCATGGTTGCAGGCTTGATCCCTGGCCCTGGTCAGGGAGCGTGTGCAGAGGCAACCAATTGATGTGTCTTTCTCACATCAATATCTCTCTCTCTCTCTCTCTCTCTCTGTCTCTCCCTCTCCCTGCCACTCTCTAAAATCAATGGAAAAATGTCCTCAGATGAGGATTAATAACAAAAACAACAACAAAAAATTCACTTTAACATTCAAGTCCTAACTAAAATAAGATGAATTCCCAAGAAATACCAATTGAATAATGGTCTAATGAGTTCAACCAATATATATCCATTCCCACAGAATAAATGGAAGTAGATCAAGCTATGTGAATGTAAGTAGTCAACCTCAGTAGTTACACTGACTTAAATATAAAATATGTTTCCCTTTTAGAAGAAAAATTCTACTAGAAACTTAAATTTCCATAAATTTTATTAAAAATTTTAGAAAGAAAATCCCGAGGATGTTCCTAAATCTCATGCATTATTACCTGAAGACAAGGCATTAGCCATTTTTGCTATTTATATCACATTAACAGGATTCTCCAAAAACAAAATAAAAGTAGATTAAGTCAACATTTAACATTGCTCTGCCAATGGTAAGAGCTGTTGTAAATAAATTATTCTCCTTTTGTATATTCCTTTCATCTATCACCTTTCTTACCATTAGCACAATATTGCTCCAAATGTAACTGGGCTTCCGTTATTTTAGGATCTTTAAAAATGTCACTAACAAGTAAGAAATCAATTCCTACACTGAAAGAGATAAGACATGGGAATTAAATGATCCAATCTACTAGGCCTCTGCAAAGCTTCCTTAAATATACCCAAAGGCCTCCCCAAAGGCCTGCTATAGGAATATTAAGAAAATCATCCAAACACTTTTTTATATGTATTAACACCAACAGCATATACACACAATGCACTGACTAAGCAAACCAAATAATTCCATTTTGGTGATCTTAACCTCTTTTTCTGAGAGGTCGCCTTGCAATAAGCTGACTTTTTCTTTCAAGTCTTTAAGATCTTTTTTATAGTTATCAATTTCCTCTTGCTTCTCTCGCTCATCTCTGTCTCGCTGCTCCTTTAAGCGTTCAATTGTCCGTTCCTGGTGAGAGAGCACATCAATACATGAGAAAATTCCTTTCATACTTTTACCATAAGACTATAATTCAACTCTTATCAGATAAAATTTCACACTTCCATCTCCCACTCAAAAGACAGTGATAAATTGTCAATAATTTACTTTGTAAAAAATTCATCCTTCCTACATACCTTGCTATAACAAAGATCTGGCTTTGTTATTTTGATTCCCTTGGGTTTCTTTTCACATAATGTCAACTAGTATTAGATATCCCTAATGTATGTATTCTTTTAGAATAATTCCCTTTATTCAACTCCCAAATATATGTTGCCTACAAGGCAACGGAAACAACTCACAATTCGAATACCAAAAAAAAGGCGGGGGAGGAGAGAGGTTGGGGAGTTTATACATTGAGTTTAAAACATAAAAAGGATAAAGAAAAGAGAAACCATTAAAATTTGTTGTCAACAGATACTCAGGAAGTTTGAAGTTAAGTAATTAAAGTATATCTCTGAGTATTATTTACCAGTATATTCAGGAATCAAGCCTTGGTTCCTGGCAGGCAACTTGAAACATTGTGAGTCTAAGAGGCTTAAGGAGAGGCTCCATATCTAGGGAGAAGAGGCTTAAGGAACAGTGACCCTATTCCTTTAAAAATATCCAGTTAAGCCCAGCCAATATGGCTCAGTGGATGAGTGTTGACCTATGAACCAGGAGTTCACAGTTCAGTTCCAGTCACAACACATCCCTAGGTTGCAGGCTCGATCCCCAGTAGAAAGCATGCAAGAGGCAAGCCGATCAATTATTCTCTCTCATCATTGATATTTCTATCTCTCTCTTCCTCTCCCTTCCTCTCTGAAATAAAAAATATTTTTTAATTAAAAATATCCAGTTAAAATGCCCCACTAAGAGTCCTTAAACATCCTTCATTACCACTCATGTTGGGCTACTTTTTTTTATTTATTTAGTCAACCATTATTAAAACATTGGTTTGTTCATAAAGGCAAAATGAAGTAGCAAGGCCAAAACTAGAAAAAGAACAAATACATTCACTGTATTAATAATTGAAACCCACAAATATATTAGGTACCAATGCAACATAATAAAGGACAACTAGCCCTGATCGGTTTGGCTCAGTGGCTAGAGCGTTGGCCTTCGGACTGAAAGGTCCCGGGTTTGGTTCCAGTCAGGGGCATGTACCTTGGTTGCGGGCACATCCCGAGTGGGAGGTGTGCAGGAGGCAGCTGATCGATGTTTCTCTCTCATCAATGTTTCTAATTCTCTATCTCTCTCCCTTCCTCTCTGTAAAAAATCAATAAAATATTAAAAATAAATAAATAAAATAAAGGAGAACTAATTATATATTGCTTCCTAATGATCAGTGTCTGTTATTCCCATATCCCCAAATTCTAGTTGACCATATATAAAAATAACTTTTCTTTTTCTTCACAAGATCGTAAATGGAGCCCTACCTGGTTTGGCTCAGTGGATATAGAGCATTGGTATATTGACTTAAGGGCACTGGGTTCAATTCTGGTCAAGGGCACATACCACGGTTGCAGGTTCGATTCCCACCACACACCCTGGGTGGGGCACTTGCGGGAGGCAACCAATGGATGTCTCTCACATGGATGTTTCTCTCTCTTTGTCTCTCCCCCTCTCTTCCACTCTCCCTAAAAAAGCAATGGAAAATATCCTCAGGCCCTACCTGGTTTGGCTCAGAGGATAGAGTGCTGGCCTGTGGACTGAAGAGTCCGGGTTCAATTCCGGTCAGGGCACATGCCCAGGCTGCAGCTCAATCCCCAGAATGAGACAGCCAATCAATGGTTTTCTCTCATCATTGATGTTTCTACCTCTCTCTCTCTCTCCCCCTTCCTCTCTAAAATCAATAAAAATATATTTTAAAAATGTATATCCATGGGTAAAGATTAACAAAATAAACAAACAAACCAAAAATAAAGATCATAAATGGGGAACATATGGCTAATTCTAGAAATTTCAACCACTGCCCTGTAGTGTAGCATCCATCTTGCCTAGGGACAAATACTTAAAATGCAATAATGAAATAGATTTCTTTTCCCTTACACTATGTATGTCAGAACAGTTCAGGGAGCTCTTTTCCCTTTTGCCCAAAGGGATTTCTTCAGTATTCTATATCCAAGTCTCATCACTAGAAAAAAATATTAGATTAATGAGAAAGCAGAAGAAATGTGTCTGTGAACAGTCTGGACCAATCACTCACTTTCTCTGCCAGGGCCTCCTCCAAAGTTGTCAAGGCAGTATCAGTGTTGGTGGTATCAGCCTGCAAGGATTTGACTCGTTCTTTCAAGCTGCTCATCTGTTTTTCCTTATCTCTAAGTTGCTCTTGAAGATTTTCAATCTGAGTGGACATATATATTTAAGGAAGAAAAAATAAATTAAAATAGTCACAACAAGAATAATTTTAAGTTGGAAACAGGTAGATCAGGACTGCTATGAGTGTGTTGTCTCTAGAAATAATTTAATCCTAAAGATTTCAGAACTGCAAGCAAAACTTTAAACCCAGAATTTATAACCAGAACAGAGAAAAGATGCACATACACATATACATGAATCTCTAAAGAAATAAAGTAACAAGGGAGAAAAGACCTATCATAGAGAGATGTGGATAGAGAGAGGAATTATGGAGAGGAAAGCCATGAAAAACTGAAATACTTCCAAAATGATAGCGTAAATTCCCAGAGGAATGGCTTCACAAATAATAGAGGAAGGACAGAGAATGGAACAGTTAGACAGTAAGAAAAACAAATCAACCGTATAAAGAAAAATTATTTGTGGTTTTTCTATAATTTTTGTTGAATTTATTGGGGTGGCATTGGTTAATAAAATTATATAGGTTTCAGGTATATAATTCTATAGTACATCAACTATATATGGTATTGTGTGTTTACCAAGGAAAAACTATTCTTAACTCATACTATTAAGTTAGATTTTTATATCATCTTTTATCTAAACATCAATTTAGCATAAGCTCTTTAAGGGCCTGCTTTATTCCGCAGAGGGGAAAAAAAAGAAGTATCTGTCGCAGCGATGGCAAACCTTTTGAGCTCGGCGTGTCAGCATTTTGAAAAACCCTAACTTAACTCTGGTGCCATGTCACATATAGAAATTTTTTGATATTTGTAACCATAATAAAACAAAGACTTATATTTTTGATATTTATTTTATATATTTAAATGCCATTTAAGAAAGGAAAATCAACCAAAAAAATGAGTTTGCTTGTCATAGGTTCACCATCACTGGTAGAGTCAATGAGAATTCTTACAAGCAGAACAAATAATAAAAGCAACAAGATTTGGTAAATTTAGAATAGAGTGCCATACATACTGTCAGGCTTGGATTTTTAGTCTTTAACAAAGAAATAAACATACAGGTAAACCACTGGTAAGCCTGCAATAGGTTCCAGTCTTGTCAATAAAAGACCAAACCATGAGAGAAAAGACCATCACAAATGAAAAGCATTGGTTTTCCTTTAGTTTAATCAGAAACTACTACTGGAATCTCACATGGATTAGTATTTAGGTTGATATCACAACCACTCAAGAAAATTTTGCCACTTAAAAATCTAGTGCATATTTCATATACATACAGAATGCAATGCCCTGGTGTTTACATGTTTAACCAGATATGCAGGTCATTCCAGTTGCTAAGGTATAAACCTTATATGCACAAACAACAAAAGGATATGGTCATGCTGTTGACTAAAGTGCAGTACAAGAACCATTATTTAAAATGAAATTTCACAGAACCAACTATTATATACAAGAAAACAGAGATTTGTTTTATGAGGTCACCTAATATAAAAATAGCCCTTACATGTATAAGAATAACACCCTTCTTTCTCCTCCATTATTACTATCTAAGAAAGAATTTAAATTAAATTGTCAACAATTCTACTTGTATGATTTACATGTAGTCAAACTATTAAAAGAATCCATTATTCTTTGCTGGCAAAAACCTTTCCTAATAATGCTCAGGTGCAAAAGCTGCTAAACAAGGTAAAATTCCCATTAACAAGTTCTCCCTAAACTACTTTCTTCTTCAAATACCCAGGTACTTAAACTGACTGACTGTTGTGGGGCTGGAGGGGAGGAAAAAGATGTCTATCCTTGAACTCCTACTTACTTTTAAAGTAGAGGAATAAATACTCCATAGTGAAAGGCACTGACAAAATGAAGAAAGGACAGTGGACACTAAAAATACCTCCTTTGGGTAAGTTGCCTTCAGTGAGGAAGACTTGAAATAGACATGTGTGTGCAAACTAGCTGCGTAAGCATGCAACAAACCCAAAAGGTGTTGCGTGTGATGTGTGGGAGAAGTGTGTAGAAAAATATTTTTTCCTTTATCCAGTTTCATGATGGGTAACAGCTGAGCTCTACTGAAAGCTCCTATTATGTATCTTCACTTTGCTCGTGATTCAAAATTGTGCTTTTTTAATCAAGGATCTCTGGTTTATATGTGTTACTAACCAGCTGGTATATGAATGCTACCACATTATTCTTGCCATTATTCTTTTTTTCACTAATCTAATGTTGCGGCTATAAAAGCTGTTACCCTGAAAGTCCATATCATATCATTTTAGTATTTATTACATATTTCAATACAATTTATAGTGGAGATCTTATTCTATACTCTTTAATTATCCACAGGATCTGAAATATATGACTTACAAAATGTTTTGAATACAACAGTCAAAAGAAAAACTGAATCTATTATCCACATCTAAAAGAGAAACTTGCAAATTGACCGCACCTTTGCTACCCCCCAAGCCATGCCCACCAGCCAATCAGAGTGACTATATGCAAATTAACCCAACCAAGATGGCAGCCAGCAGCTATGGAGCTGAAGCAAGCAGGAGACTTGGTTGCCCCAGCGATGGAGGAAGCCAAGCTTCCCGCCTGCCCTGGCCAGCTGTGGCCTCTGCTCAAGGCAACAAAGTTTCAATTATAGAAGATAAATAAATCCCAGATACCTGCTTCCAGCCAGGCTCCACTGGGAGCATGGGTGGCTGGGGGCTATAGGGACCCTAATGGGGGACTCGGCCAGCCTGCAAACAGCCATCAGCCCCTCACCCAGGCTGGCCAGGCACCACAGCGGGACCCCCACCGTGATCCGGGACACTCTTCAGGGCAAACCAGCCAGCCCCCACCCATGCACCAGGCATATAATAAAAAGGCAATATGCAAACTGACCCTACCAATGGAACGACTGGGAATGACTGGTCACTATGACACACACTGACCTTCAGAAAGCAGACGCTCAATGCGGGAGCTGCCCCTGGTGGTCAGTGCGCTCCCACAGGAGGAGCTCTGCTCAGCCACAAGCCAGGCTGCCAGCACAGCAGTGATGGCGGGAGCCTCTCCCACCTCCTCAGCAGTGCTAAGGCTGTCCGACCGCAGCTTAGGCCTGCTCCCCACTGGCAAGTGGGCATCCCCCAAGGGCTCTTGGGTTGCCAGAGGGATGTCTGACTGCCAGCGTAAGCCCGATCCCCCGGGGAGCAGGCCTAAGCCAGCAGGTGGACATCCCCTGAGGGGTCCCAGTCTGCGAGAGGGCACAGGTCGGGCTGAGGGACCCTCCCCACCCACAATTGCACAAATTTTTGTGCACCGGGCCTCTTGTCCTATATAATCCTATATAATAAAGAGCTAATATGCAAATGATCATCACACCATCACGCTGTCACGCTGTAACAGCTCAGACACTCAAAACTGGGGAGAGAGGAATGGGGACCAGCCAGGCACAAATGAGCTCACGAAAGAGGAATGGGGACCAACCAGGCACAAATGAGATCACATGAGAGGAATGGGGACCAGCCAGGCTGCGGCCTGGGAGAGGGACAAGCCGCCTGCCCTGCAGTCCCAGGCGCTAGCAGCTGCACCTGCGCCTGCAGCCCAGGAGAGGGACAAGCAGCCCACCCCGTGGTCTGGGCGCCAGCACCTGTGGCCTGGGCAAAGCAGCCTGCCCACAGTCTCCTGCAGCTGCAGCCAGCCCAAGTGCAGCTGGCTTGGGTCCTGGGTGCCTGTAGCCGGCCAGAGGGAAGGAACCCCGGGTCCTGGGTGCTGGAGGAGGGAATTCTGGGTCCCAAGTGCAGGGTGAGGCAGAGGCAGTTAGGGGTGATCAGGCCATCATGGGAGCAGTTAGGGGCAATCAGGCCAGTAGGGGAGCAGATAGGGCAATCAGGCAGGCAGGCAGAGTTGGTTAGGGGCAATCAGTCAGGCAGGCAGAGGAGTTAGGGGCGATCAGGCAGGCAGGCAGGCAAGGGGTTAGGAGCCAGCAGTCCCGGATTGCGAGAGGCAGTCGGATATTCCCCGAGGGGTCCCAGATTGGAGAGGGTGCTGGCCAGGCTGAGAGACGCCCCTTCCATGTACGAAATTCATGCACCGGGCCTCTAGTACTTGAATAATAACAATAAAGATGATTGTTTGGAATCAAATTAAGTGTAAATAATACTCCTTTAAATATGCTCAGAATATCTAAAAAAAAAACCCACAACAAACCAAAAACCCACAACTCTCCATTTTGTAGAAACAGAACCCCTAAAATACCAACATGAGACCAATAACAACAATAATAATAATAATAATGGTGGTGGTGAGGAGGAGGTAGTGATGATAACAAGGACCACTAACATACACAAAAAGAGAGAGTAGTATGTTATGTGGCAGACACTGTTGTAAGAACTTTATATATAAACTATTTAAGCATCACCACAAAACTGTGAGGTAACTACTAACCAATCTAGCTACAGAAACCTACTCTTAATCACTATGCTATAAATAATGTTTTATTATGAAAAAAAAGAAAAAACCAGTCACACAAAGATGACTCAAGCATCTTCCATAAACTATTCCTTATTATTAAAGAGCATTTATTAATAAACACAGTATCTTATTCCTATGGTTATTTATATTAAAATGTTATTAGCACCCCAGCTGGTTTGGCTCAATGGATAGAACATCAGCCCGAGGAGTGGAGGGTCCCAGGTTCGATTCCAGGCAAGGGCACATACTTCAGTTGCAGGCTCCAGCCCTAGTCAGGGCACGTGCAGGAGGCAACCAATCAATACATATCTCTCACTTCGATGTTTCTCTTTCTGTCTCTCACCCTCCCTTCCACTCTCTCTAAAAATCTAATTAACAATTAAATTGTTAATCCTTGGCTGAGGATTAACAAAAAAATAAAAATTAAGTTAAATAAATGTTATTCCCTTCTAAAGCCAAGAATAAAGGGTGGAGGTACAAAACCACTGCAAATGCAAAAGTACATCTTCCATGGGAGTAACATATATCTAAACACAATACACTAAAATGGCAGACAGAGCCAAAGATACCTGATATTAGG